TTGGAACTCTTACCAAGCCTTGTTTCCTAAAAGTTCTAGCTTCTTCTATGTTAGAATGCCATTCAATGGATGTTTCCCCACGGCCAATAAGATGACAGTGCCATCCTGTCAATACTCCAAGCGCCAAAGTAACAGTAGAGCAAAGTATAAAAACATACAGAACACTACTGTGCTCAGACTCTGAAACACCATCTGCTTCATGGTTAAATTTTTTCTGCTGAAGAAAAAGATCATGGTAACTCAAAAACATAAGCTTGATCTAATTGTTATGGGAACAGTTATGATACCAGAAAGACTAAATTAACTTTTTCCTCTATAGCAGGGCAAGCATGTTTCTTTTTTATGTGAGTATTATGTGAGCAATTCAACATTTGGTTCAGCAGCCAGATGAAGCAACATTGCCTTAACGCAGGATGTTACAATCTTTGGTTTAAAAAATAATCCTACTTGCACATGATCTAAAGTTGAGTGTGCACAAGTGCAAGAAAAAAAAATTCAGAAGCATCATTTAAACCTCTACACCCTCATATCTGTATGCATAATCTCCATACAGTTTTTTCATTACATTTCCTGAGGTCTCCAACAAGGAGAATTTGTTTAACAATCAAGAGCTTTAGTTGGTGATCATTTCCTTTATTCTCATGATTGTAATGTGGGATTCAGGGATGATATTGTAAGGAGAAATTATATGCTAATCATCCCTAGGGGTTAGAGGTAAGCACAAAGAGAATGTTAACAATCCCATGTTAATTGCCCACTGACAACTAACATCAAAAATCTTGTCACTCACAGTCAAGTGTTATAATTTGCATAATGGCAACCAGCTTATTGCAGTTTCAAAATAGGAGGCATGTACCTCATTCAAATTCCATTTCTTTGTCAGAAGGTGCATAAGCTAATTATAATCCCAAACAATAGCAACAATGGTCAGTTATTATGAAGGCCTACATAATGTCTGCCTTCATGTTATAACAACTTCACACCCAGGTTCTTTTCCCTTACCACCCCAACCCTCCCCTGATAGGGAGTAAATCCCTTTGGGTGTTGGGGGTGAGCAAAGACTCCAGTAATGAGTTTGAAATGTTAATAAATGACTTACATGTAACTTATCAAAAATAGGTTTTGATGACAATGATGTGACATTTCGCCCATTGGATACATTAGAGCTTGGAATGAGCTTGTAATTCTACAAAAACAAGACAAGAGAGTAGAAGAAGAGCAAAATCATTCTCTGATCAGAGAGTACAGTATCATTAGCAGAGATACCATTAGATTGTCAATGAACTGACTCCAGCTCTTCATTATGTGGCTAGGATAATATTGATTCATCACTTAGAATAAACATCATCTGAAGCAAAAAAATATTTTTACAAAATCATGATTTACCACTGAGTAAGCCATCACAACACTATAGGATTTCAATATAGCAATATCACTTTAAAACATTTTACATGTACACTTTCATAAAATGTAATGCCATGTATTCAACAAATGCTGAATTTGTATCTTTAGGATGGGGGCATTGAGTTTTCTATTTCGTGGTTTTGGCTATTTATTAGATCAGCCTTTGGTTTTTTGTGCCAAAAAACTGGTTTTGGTGTTCACTGCAGTTTGTGGATTTTCCAATTTATAGCAATTGGTTTTCAGTTTTTGTAAAAATCACTAAATAATAAATATGTTTCTGGTTTTGCCTATTTGGGCTTGGTTTCTCTTTGATCTGAGAAGCAATTATGTACCTCCACTGATCTCGAAACCTCTGTATACTCCACTTTTCACTGACTGTATCGGATCAATTAGAGTTTTGACAACTGGGATGTAAAAATGTGTCAGTTTTGACGGTTTTGCATGCGGTTTTTGGTTCTGATTGAATTTTTCTAAGGTTTTGCAGTTTGGATGATTGCCCTCCACCTTTAGGAATACATGGTAATTAATTCTACTCAACAGAAAGCATGCAGCGGGACAACTTTAATGAGTCAAAATAACTGCAAGAAGATTAAAGAGAACTTACCCAGTCATGGAAAAAGTGTTTGATGAAAAGATTGCTGGAAGTAACAGTGACATAAATTGTTCCAAGACACATAAAGAAGCAGAAAGATATGAAATATCTGTGATTGAAATGGCCCACACAGTTATTAATCCATGCTAATTTATTCAAATAAGGTCAAGGAAAAAGCAAAAAGTGCAGCTGTAACCTTGGTGAACATGTAGGAAAAATAATTAGAAATTGAGGTGCAAGATAATATTAATCACTGTTTTATTCTGACATGTACAAAACAGATGCAGTTACTTTTAGGACATGCAGAAAAACCTCAAAACCACAAACTGGCTGCTGTTCCTGTAAGCAATCCAGTGTGCTTGTTCTCAAATGTCTATTTTGCATTTTTTTCAAAACATAATTCACCATTCTTTGAACACTTCCAATGTTTATGGTTTCCTGAATTTCACCATAAAATTCGGCACCATCATAACAAGCAGTTAAAATACCCTAGTACTACAAAATTAATTGTTTGTAAAAAAGACAGATTTATGATATCATTATTATTGAGTATTACTGACTAAAACAATATCACTGTCAAAAAAGGAAACACATATCTGAAGGATACGGCAATGGTGATCCATTTTCAAAACACACCTACATAAAAAAAAACAAAAGAGGCAGTTAAGGTGGCTCTGCTGGTAAAGTAAAATTTTCAATTGAGTCCTAACATATTATCATATGATTATTAAAATGATATCAATTCAAGATTGCATTGGTTTTTCTTCACTTTGCTTTGTGATTGGTCCAGAAAACTAGTATCAGTCCCTTTCAACTAATCAGTCTACAACCTTTTCCACCCTTTAGACAGTTTGCTTGTTTTTGCTTTGAGCTCTCATTGGCTCTGGGGTATTTTCCTTAGCTCTGATTGGCTGTTGTGCTAACTTTCAAGCATTCCATATACTTATCTCTTTAATCCCTAAGATTGACCAGCACCTAATATCTCCTTACAAGATCACCCCTGAATCACACATTAAGATTGCAATAATAATTAAAAGAAATGATCATCAGCTTAATGACTGTTACAAAAATTATCCTTGTTAGCACTTTTAGGTTAGGAAATGTGTAGAGAACAGAAAGGAAAATATACATACTGATGCTAAGCTCTTGATTGTTATAAAAATTATCCTTGTTAGCACCTTTAAGCTAAGAAATTTGTGGAAAACAGAAAGAAGAATATGCACACTGATGCTAGGGTGTAAAGGGTTAATTATAACAGTTGACAGTTAACTGACTGGAGCATGGTAGAATCATTTTCACTTACCTTTTGCAAATTGAGCAGTGGTGTGATCTTGGTGGTTTAATTCGAACACCTTCAATATAATGATAAATTTAATTGAAACCAATTAGTCTCTACCCAAAAAAAAAAGAAGTAATTATTCTAAATGACTGTACTCTATCCACATAATTTAATATTCCTAATTCTTAACAATTTTAAGTTAAGAAAAAAGCATACCTCCTTTAACCCTTTGACTCTCAGAAGTGATTGACATGTAACTTCTCCCTATAATATCCATACCTCATCCAGCAAACAGGTAATGAGAATACTCAAACTTATAGGGTGGAAGTTGTTATCTTGATCTAACACCAAATTCTCATAACTCATTTACAAGGAAATGTGTAGCAACTAGAGGGGAGAATTAACAATCAGATCTTGGGAGTTGTGAGCAAGTTTTCATTAAATAACCTTTTTCAGTGGGAACATAGGCTTATCCAAACAAAATGGGAGTTAGGAGAATTTAAGATAGTCATACAACCATGAGATTGTATATTGAGTTTAAAGAACTTTTAAGAATTCTCACAATCCCCTGATGTTTCGATATGACTGCGCAAAAAGGGAAAAATTAATCTGACTTTGACTTTTCCTTTAGTAAAGTGCTTCATAAAGTTATACACAAACTTGAAATGTTAAAACTGCATTTAGCAGTGCTAGTCTCATTGAAACACACTTAGCAACCAGGCAACCAGTGAGAACACGACTGCTATGTCAATTATTTTGTACTAAGAGATGGCTATTTTATAGTGAATGAAGGCCTCTGACTTACATTTTTTACAAAGGCTGTATTTCCCACTTTTCAGATCTTCTAAATTAGTTTCCTGCCAAAAAAATAGAGATAAATAAGTACAGTAAGATATTTATCCTCAATTCTAGTCAATTGGATATTTGTTAAAACTTCATCTGGACAATGAATTACTTTTGATTGTCCCATTACACAATAGTTCCCAATGGTGAACAACTTTTATAAACACTTTGATTGCTGGAGAGAGAGAGAGACATGCATCAACAAATTAAATCAATGTGTCAACTCTTTCAGTCCCAGAAGTGATACACATAAAAATTCTCCCTATAGTTTTTATACATCATCTAACAAACAGGTAACAAGAATACTCAAACTTGTCAGATGGAGGTTGTTATCTTGATCTTATCTCAAATTATTGTAATTTATTTACAAGGAAATGTGTAAAACCCAAAGGGAAGAATTCTCATTCTGTTCTTGGGAGTTAAAATTAATAATTATGTCAATTACCTGAGGGGCTAGACCAGGTGATGTGAAGACAACTTTAAAATAATGAAAAACAATGTTGATCAAAAGCCAATGAGCTGTTATTAAATGAAAGACAACCCAAGGTGTGCTGTACTCTTGGATAACAGGCAACAAATATGCATAATAGATCACCACCACAGACGTAGTAAGACCAATCACGACTAAAAGGAATGCCTGAAATAAACAGTGTACAAAACAAAAGAACATTGTGATCATGAATGCTCATTGTGTATGCTTGGTAGGAGTAAAATACTCAGTGAGATGCAACAATGAAGGACTGAAGTGGGGGGGGGGGGGGGAAGAGGAGGACGAGAAGGAGGGGAGGTGGGGAGGTTTCAAAATTGAACATCCTTTGGAACCCTTGGCAGAGCCGAGGGTGGCAATGGGGAGGTTCTGTTCAAGTTTCAATCACAAATTTTTGAGAAATTCATGCATCACATGCATTTTAAACAGTATTTGATGCGTTAAAAGGAAAAACTTCAAATCTCGTCTCAATTCGCCTTTCTTTAAATACACGCGTCACGTATCAATTTTGGACTTAACTACGCGTCACTTCCACTGTATAAACATGTATAAACACCCTCCTAACTTTTATTAACCATTAACCTACCGTGTCAACTCTTATCTTAAACAGTGTGAGGATTAAATAGCCCAAAGTTTATCCAATCTAGTTTCCCACGATGCGTCTTACATCTCTCGTTCCTCCCGCTCCCAAACCCCATCGCATTCTCCCCATCCCATCACGTCCCAAAGGTACAAGTTAGCTAGTTCCTTACCGGCCCTAAAATCCGAACAAAAAAATCAAAGAGGCAGAATACTGGTTCAAATATGGTGTCAACTACAACTGCTCGAGAAATCTGTGCGTTGAAAGTCAATGAATGCCACGCAAACAGAAGCACTTTCAAACGTTCCATCGAGATCGACGACCGCAGCGGCGGGTTTGTGATGATCGCGTCTTCTCGAAATAATTACGTTAGCTCCAAAATCACGACAAAATCGCTCAGAATTTTGGCACATTTTCTTTCATGACTCTGTTACTGGGAAATATTCTGGTGGATGAAAATTTCGCATGAATGCCAAAGACTTGATCATAAATCTTCAGAATTTTCCTCTTCCGACGCCATTTTGTTTACAATGAATGAGAAGGACTAGGCAGGAAGTTAGTATTGTTTTCGTTACCAGATCACCTGAGAGACATCGCGATCATTGAGTCGAGTTAATGTATACTAGTAATTTTTGATAGCAGACTGCTACCCGACAGTTTTCTAGCTCGACATGAGGCAAGACTGGCACGAATTAGGGTGTACCTCCCGTTGAAACATCTATTACGCTTTTCTCCCCCTCTCACCCCTCCCATTCCATTCTTCCACTGGCTCTGCTCGATAGACCATCTATGAGAGTACTGACTAAGCTGACGGGAGGGATAGTGGTATTTGTGCTTCATCTCTGAACCACAACTAACTGCCTCTAGTAATATCTCCCAGTTATCAGCGCCCAACTATTGTCTCGGAGGTACGCGGCCGGAAGGTCTTGCAAGCCATATCGCAGTTTGAATTCTATTCACAAGGATATGCTCTTTGCAATTTTCTCTGTTGCAGTCTGCCTGTGTAGACTCAAATCGTCACCGCATGCAGTCTATATGCTAGAGTTTATTTTTTTTTAGTCTACAGTATAGTGTGGTTCCCCGCGCTAAGTTAGATATCTTTATTTTGTGGCGAGGCCAGTGAGGCTATCACTGTTCTATATTGAACCAAGCACGTGAGATTTTGAGCCCGACATTACAAGCATGTGCAGTTCTTAAACACTAGTAAGACCTACTTCGTGAAGTTTTCAAGCATACTGACCATTTTTTTGCTTTCTTTTTTTGGGGTTGTTTGTGTTTTTTTCTTTTATTTCTCTTTATACTAGATTTATTTTATTCTGCATAGATCCTAGTAGCTATCAAACTGCCTCTTCATCACATCTTTGCGCCATTTAATCCGTCTGTTCTGGAACCAAACTCGGACCTGCGTCTCACTCAACTGAAGCTCGCTGGCCAGTTGCAACCGCTGATTACCCGTGATGTACTGACGGCGCAGGAATTCTCCCTCCATCCTCTCGAGTTGATATAAGGTAAACATCGTACGGGGTCGCTTTCTTTTGAAGTGAGTGCCCATTAAACCCTTTTTCTTTTCTTGTGTGGTACTTGCTGGTTCACCAGCTATAAAAACAAGTCCAGAAAGTAAACGATATAATCAAATATCAAAAGTAATTTTAGAATTGTACTGGTTTTGCTTTAACACTTGCTAAAAACACCTAATCACTTTTCGATCGAGTGTCCTAAAACCAACTCGCCAAAGAAATCACAAGAAGCCAACCAGATGAAAGAAAAATACTTTTAAGATTCGATTAAGAGCCAATGAGAACACAAAATAACAACAACCAAACTGCCTAAAGAGCGGGAAAACGCGAACTGCCAAGTCGTGATTCTCATTTGCATCTGATTGGATAAGAAAGTGGCGCGAGTTTTCTGGACAATAACTCAGTTACTTTCGACACTTTCGACACAAAATTTCTCCAGTCAGCCATCATGGAACTGAAATTTTTGAAGAATTATATTAAGTAGAGGAACAAACTAGTCAGCTGCCGAGAAAATAAACCCGGTTAGTCGACATAGAGGTCAAATATCCCCGCATGTGCACATGAGCGAATATTGTAGGGGCTAAGTGACGTATTTTAGGGCGTTAAAACCAAGTTGTCCCATAAACAACTATAGGAGCGAGAACTGACGTCGGAGTGTTTGAAAACCTTACAACTTTTTTGGTAAACCTCAAAATAAAATGGGAAATCAGCAGGTTTCTTGTAATCAAATAATCTATGTGCTCATAAAGTCTCAAGTTTCCTCTTCTCGTACTTTGATTCCCTTTAGAGATTTACATGAATGTGTTTTTTTTCTTTCGCATGTTTTTCGTGACAGCGGTTGGTTTCTTATGATTTCTTTTAAAATTTTGCGCAGGAAAATGTTGCGCTGCTGACCAAGATTGATCCTCTAGCGCATGCCACATTTTTGACCGCTGTGTTTACAATTCGTAATTCATCAAAGCGACGTTGTCGTCATGGTAGATACACGGAACTTATGGAATGTTTTGCTGTTTTTTTAATTAGATTCTCGAAATTTCCAGAGGCCAAAGCGTTCCCTTCAAAACTTAAAATAAACAAAGAAAAAAAGTCTCGAGAAGTAAGATGCAGGCGATATCAGCGGAAAAAGAGAAAGGAAGATAGATAAAAGCTAGAAAAAACGCACCACCTGGTTTTTCATTTTTTTAAAAAACTTACTATGTATCATTTATGACAAAAAGATTCATTTTATGAACGTTTCAATGTTTTAAGCAGACATTACTTCACTTCTAACGTATCTTTCATTGTATGCCCTCTCATTTTCTTTCTTACACGGTAACTAAATACACTTCTCTTTTTTGGATGCAACTACTTTCCTAAAGTGTGCAGAATAGAATTATCTCGAACTTTTTAAACGCCAATAGACGAGGGAAACCAATTAAAATGCAAATATTTTTCAAGTGAAAAAAAAAACACAAAAACAGCAAACTCATTTATGGCTGCCCAAAAAAACAATACAATCAGTGTTATTAACAATTTAGCCACGAGAGAATTATCAGCAATTTTAAGAGCATAAACAAAAATTTTTTTTTCGTTCTAGTTCAGTTGTTCCTCGATGTCTCTGCATTTTTATTCCTTTCTAAACAGGTTTTAATCCTATTTGTTACCTTATTTTCTGTTTGGAGTTATTGCTTCATCAACATCGAGTTTGCTTTTTTCTTCTGAAAGCCTTTCAGTTTTTAACCGTATCTTCTATCGATGAATCCTGATATATTTTATTTCTTAATTTACGTAGTTGCTCGTGATGTTAAGTTTTTTTTTAATGGTGCTAAAGAGTTGTACACATGCATTTTTGTATAAGTGCAGGCTTAACACTCCTCAGAGAATTACAATTGAATAAAACACGAACTTTTTTCTAATAATTGTTTTCTATTGATCTCAATTTTCTTGAGGCTTTAAAGTCTTCCTCTTGCTTTTATTCATACTTGAAAGCTGAAAACGTCACCTACGGTTTTTCAACACCTGTTAAACCGGCCATACATTCAACGATGGCTGTGCTCTTAGCACTTACGGCCTGCGGTGATCACTTATCACGCTCGAAACGTCAGCCTTTAAACTCTTTACGGTGGCCAATTTACGTTATCATCTCAGTTGATAACACTAAATTACCTTATCTTATGGCCAAGTTACGGCCATCCATACCGATTCTTTCATCACACTTGATTACTGAGTTAACCAGAAAGATCATAACGCTTGGTACAAGAAGCTAACCAACGCCCATGGTATGAAATGGAACGCATCAACTTTACAAAAACAGAGTCAACTTTTGTTTTGTATATCGGCACACCTTCTTAAACCTGTCTACATGTGTGCCATTCAAGATAGAATTGAAGTTCTACCAATTGGTATCAGAGATGTGATTCCTCGAGAACATGTCGGCGGATGAGAAGCCAATGTTATGATCATTACGAAAAAATGTTTGCTCTTTAAAAATTTTCAATTTTTGTTTGTGGAAAACAGGTTTGAGAGTTACTTTCACAAATCAATCAAAGGTTTCTCGATTCGAATTACTGAAATTGTGTATGAATCTTTCTTTTTAACGTAGTTTTTCTATTAAAAGTGTATTTACGTTGTGGGAAAACTCAAAAAAATCAAGAGCCCTGCACGACTTACCAACATAGGCTTCTCGATGTCAATTCATAAAAGTGCGTCAAAATCTTTTATGTTTACGTGATTTTTCTATTAAAAAGCGTATATATGCTAAAGGAAAACTCCAAAAAATTAAGAGCCCTGCACGACTCACCAACAAAGGTTTCTCGATGTGAATTCATAAAAGTGTGTCAGAATCTCTCTTGTTTACTAAACTTTTCTGTTAAAAAGCGAATTTATGTTGTAGGAAAACTCAAAAAACATTCAGAGCCGTGCACGACTTACCGAAAAGTTCTGCTTTCCGCACCTCTGTCATCGCTGTTGATTTTTCTCGATTATCGAAGCTGTCCGATACTTTTGAGCTGTTGTTTCGCCTCCGTTCCACGAGCCCTTTAAGTTTAGCTTCAACAGAGGAGTCTGTTTTTTTGATGTAGGAGGCAGTGCTGGCTAAGGAAGGCATGCTTACCTCTGACGTCTTCTCGCCTCCAAGAAGCGACTCGATAGAGAAAGATGACTGAAATGGCTTCTGCAACTGGCTTTCGAAGTGGGGTCGAAAGTGCGGCTGGTACTGATGGCTTTGTGGCGGATAGCTGAGGGCTGTAGGCTGGCAGAAGCATTGTAGATAGCTGTAATAGTATGGGTGTTCCCTGTTGTAAGCCTGCATTTCAGAATTTACAGCGCACTTTCGTTGAGTCCTGGTTCGCGATCGTCAATTGTAAACTGCGTCCAACGTGTATGTTAACAGGTTCACGAAAGTTCTAAATTGTAACTCTTTAAGTAGATGCTTATTTTTTAAATGGAATTCATAACTATAAATCATCCGGTAATCAATTGTTGGTCGCTGCGACATTAGACAAAGAAGAATGTAGATGAACAAAGAACTTAAGGAAAATCGATAAATGGAACGTACATTTCGGAATCCCTTTACAGTTATATGACTTCGCTGTGTGTGCAAAAAAATCAATTCTTGGCTGCCGTGGCTAAATTTAACTTCTTTAATGCAAAAAAAAGCATTAGATAGTTATTTTACTTTAATCAACAAAAGATACGCCTTTTGATGGCGTGGCCCCCCAGAGGGATGTAATACAGGCCGATGGTCTTTATTGATATTCCCCCCTAAGGGATGTAATACAGGGATGGTCTTTATTGATATTCATGGTCATCCAGAACTAAAGCAAGTCAAGCACTCATTACTTTACTGATCTACAGTACGTTAAAGAGGATAGCTAAAAAGAGTAGATTACAAATAAAGCATGCTTGAATGCATTATGTGAAGAAAAAAAATTGCTGTGTTATTTCTCGCTCAGTGGAAGGTTTCTCCACCTGTTCCTCGGCTTTGTTGAAAGGCCGTCTTCCAGAAATTAAACTGTGCCTATTGTTAAAAAAATACTGAGTTAATGTATAAAACTTGGGAATATGATTGCAAAAGATCCTTTCTTGATTTAACTTCAATATTAATTCGCCCTTGGTTTTCATATATTTTGCACTGACCAAAAAGAAAAAGCGAAACCTCAACTCTCTGTCAACTTTGGACAAATACTGGAGTTGTCTACCACTTTCCTTATCACACCTATCTCGCGCGAAAACAGTGTAAATTATTGAATTATTATCAACCGCAAATTTGATAATTGTTCTCCCAATCTGGCATTGTTGACGAGTATATTCTCATATATATCAAATCACATAAAAAGTATCTGTTTACTTAAACATAAATAAATAAACCGAAAGCAACTAGTTAAAACAAAAAAGGGCACTCCGTGTACGTATTTTATGACCTTCCGTGAAATATCAGGGCTTCTCTGTTTAACAACCTAGGCAACCAAACACTGAAAAATGCATTTAAACTGAAATAACAAATTTCACACGTGCACCTTACCTTAAACAATATGTTCTTTTCTCCATTGTTCGATTCATGTGGGCGGTAAGATTAAAACGCCCTTTCAGAGTGAAACGTTTACATATGCAAACAGAAACTGCATGCATGGGTTGGTTCAGAAACAGCTTAAAAGTGCAGAACTTTAGAATAGAGCGAGTCAGAATAGTACGATTTGAATTTATTTAGTGGGAATTAATGAAAATGAAATTGGTCATACATATATTCATTGAGTAACGTTTTCACAAGTTTGAATTTTGGCAATGCCCGAAATTATCATGCAAGTAACCTCTCAATTAGCATACAAACTTCCTTATTTTAGTCATAACATTTTCCAATTTTTATTTTATTTGAGCTTGAATAAGTCATGTTAACCATCTAAATTTTGACAAACATGTTATAAACGCCTTTTCGTCGCTTTGTGAAAAACATTTGGTACCACTATTTCCCCGGACCGGATTCGAATCAAATATAACAATTATAGTAAACACAAGCTTTTTATCCACAGGAAAGAAAGGTGTTAGAACACTTTTTAGTGTGAATGAAAAGGCTGTGGTAAAGACTGGAAAGCACTTTCTCATCATTGAATAGCTTCCTTGAGTCTGCCTGGTGGCTTATTCAATCGTTTCTTGATAATTATCTTCGGTGTTACCTTTGTGAATCATCTCAGCTGGAAAAAAGGAACCAAAACTCTAACTGGTTATAAAAGAGAAATACGTCGCGTTGAATGTGAACCACAAAAATTGGTGCGTGGTTGTAGCCTAGGCAGGAACAGAAACAATTCAAAGTTTTTAAACTTGTTGCACGAATTCCATGATTTATGGGAACGACGAAATCAAGCAAATTCGAAAGACGTGACGCAGGTTATAACCATAGAGTCGAAAACGATAGCTGTAATTAACCAAATAAACCAGGAACATTCAATTTAAAACAAAAAAACATGGGCTGTTTTTGGCTTAGGTCAATTTCCATTGTTCACCAAAAAAGGTTTGGCAAAACCATCATTTGAACTCGGCTTGAGAAGGAGGAATATAAAGTGAAATCCTCTTTCACTATATGGATGAACATGAAGCAGCTAAAGAGATCACCACTTGTATTGGTTGGCCTGTGTGATTAAAACAAACGTCATAGTTTTACCTAAATAATGTTAAATGTTTCTCTATGAACTCTATCCTTTTTAACTCTCTAAGCCTGCCTTGGCCTTAATCCCCTTTTTTTTTTTCTTTTTTGGACACCACGTGTCTCAGACGAAGTTGTCGTGTCTTCTTTTTTCAAAAAAGTTTCGCTGAGGGAAACGTGAACATCTGAGTGATATGTCCCTATTTCCGGCGATATAACCATGCATAAACCCCACAAATTTTAAGATAGTGTTAGCCTTTGATGTTGATTTCTTTCGAGCATGATTAAATCGATCCGGTGATTTAATTTTATTAATTGGGAGCTGAAAAACAAGGCGCTTACAACACAGAGAAAACAAGTATAAGAGATCTCCCTTTGAAAAAGAAACGATTCTACTTTAAAGGGACTTCTGTTGTTAGCATAATCTGTCTATCCAGTCAAAACGCTTTGCAACAGAAATCAGTCTTTATTTTCACTCAAAAATTTTCCACAGTTTGCTAATTTATTCTATTTAAGTACTTAAATGTCTGCCCTTTGATCTTTTGTGTCACTATTTAAAACGTTTACTTCAAAGAAGAGACTCTCTATAAAATTCGCCACTCCATTTTGCATCCAGCAAGTGAAAGGAATAATTATGCCTTAACAAAGAACGAGAGAATTACAAACGGAAAAAATAATACCCGTGACACGAAAATGTGTGAGTTGTTTATCGTATACAGTATTTGCCATTGCAAGGAAAAACTACAGACATCTCGGAACAGTCCAGCTCCCTGCGCATCAGTAACGTTCTATTTTCAGTTATTGACGTCTTCTGTCTTCGTGTTGCCGCCAGCGTCTGGCTCCTTCTGTTGCCTGACCTTATTCCTTTCTTGCTCTATGAGCTGTTTCCTCCATTTTATTCGACGATTTTGAAACCAAACTTTGACCTGAGTTTCTGTCAATCCAAGCTCTTTTGACAGATAAAACCGTTGCCCTCCCACCATGTATTGCTGGCGTGTAAACTCTCTCTCCAGGCGCTCCAGCTGCTCCACGGTAAAAATCGTGCGCATGCGTTTTGGTTTCTCACCAGTCCAGTCGATTTCATCGCCCTGTGAGATGAAATTTCCTGTGGCAATTAAGAAAAGAATCAAATGAAATTAAATCATCGGAAATGAGCATTTAAACACGCAGGAAAGGAAGTATCTCATAGATTATGAAACTTCTAATTAGCAGAGTATTAGCTTCAAAGGAGCAAAAATAGTAAATTGTAATAAATTGTAAAATCATCGCATGAAATTGTAAAAATTACTCTCAAATTCACATTTTACGATTATAAATGAAGACATGAAAACTGCTTTGGAACTGACTTGACAAGAAGATTTTTCATAATATTTAAAACTTCGCTTGTTTTGAAATAAAATTTACCATCTCAATGAAAAACTAGAAAAAACAGACAAAGTCGTAAAAGTAGATCTTTAAAGGAAAGATTAAGATTTTATAAAGAATTATAACAAAAGTTTTGCTATTTTTATTTTTATAGAAGAAAACAAGAGAAATAAATAGCAATGTACTTCCTGATAGATTTGAACTAAGGCTTTTTTTAATTTCTTCAAGAACTCTCGTCCACTCGGCCTTGGAGACGTTTTCTAAACCATGGGCGACACACATCGTCTGCTTTTATAAGTAGACTTCCACATTTTAAGTACAAGGAAAATCTTCTTCTTCTGAAAATCGATGAGTATTACGAATATTTCGCGTCTAAACAATCCAAAACACATCACAAATCAAGAACTCGGTCTATTTTTTATCGGACTGGCAGTTTGCAATTTGCAAAATATTGAAAGGGCGTCCAACACGAACCGTAAGTTGCTCAGATCCCAAAAAATCGAAATAGCCAGATTATGCCGATCTGAATTTTTTTTTTTTTTTTTTTACCATCTCAACATTTACTGTGAAAAGATCAGACTCGATCAACCTACCACTCGTTGGAACGTTTCCTCTCGCTAACAAAGAAAACTGCTCCATGCTAAAACTCTGCCTTCGTAAACTTTCGAGATAGTTAGATCCAAAAGGAAACTCAGATCTTTCACTCTGAAACTGTGTGGCAGAGTTACTTGAGACCAAATTCATGTTCAGAGTTGTAAATTTCTCCATGCTCGGCTTCACTTCGGGCTTTCTCTCGTCCTTTCGGCTAAGAAGAGATTCGATTGTAAATGAAGGTCTTCGAGCCTCAGCGCTAGGCTCGACCAGTGAGGATTCGCTGTTCCGGTTCGGGTCACGGGAGGTGCAAATTTCACAAGTGCATTGCTGGCAGCCAGCCCAATAGACAGGCAAAAATTGATTTGTGGTGGTGTTCCTGTAATCCTGCATTTGCGAAGCGATCTTACAAGACAGGCCTAACCTGAGTTTCTCTTGCCTAAGAATGGGATTCTTGACTTGTGCAGGCAGGAAGTTCGACAGTTTTCAACCTCCCTTGTTGTTCAATTTGTAGCGTGTACCGCTTGGCGACTTTACGAACTGATTGTGAACACTTTATGGGCAAATGATACAATTCAATAATTCATTTTCATCTAATTAATCCACAGGCATGCTGGTTTATGAAATATCCCAAAGGAAATCTTTTGTAATTTCCCGTTCCATTGTCAAATTACCTTGGTCCGTTAAAAGAGTGAAATTTGAGCGAAGATGACGGGAAAAAGGAA